GCCACTCGTCCTCGCGTTCGCCATGTTGCCAGCAGGGTCAGCAGTAAGAGTTGCACAACAGCTCACACAGGAGGGCACCTTCTGGCAACTCAAGTGGACGCGTCCGACAAACCTTAGGTTCGATGAGATTGAGGACATCGTTCAGTGGGTGCCCAGTCTGGAGCACTATCAGGCAGAAATGGCACATGCTGCAGAGTTTGAGACATGGTCGCGAATCGACGTGCAGCGTCTTCAGGCTGAGATCGACAGGCTTGTCCGATTTTTAGAGAACACGTGCTTGAAGATTGCCTACGCTCAGGGTTTGCTGCCTGATGGTGATGAGCCCCGGATGGGCCATGTGGTCGAGTTCAAAGCTGTTCTTGAGAGCAGCATTGATGTCGAATTTCAGACGCGGTGCCAGGGCCTGGATCTCTTCGACATTGAGGATGTGACCACTGAGCTTTCCATGGAAACCATGCTAATCGTTCGCAAAATTCAGACGGCCACGGGGGTTCGCAATGTCTTAGGAGTTGTTGGCGAAATCCCACGTGGCGTCCGCGAGGATGTGAACATCATCGAGCACTAGATGTATATAAACTTGTGAACGACAGTAGGTTTGAACGTTGCCTAAATCCTGCCATGAAGCATTCGAGTGGACAGGTGTCGACAAAAAGCATGACCTGCACTTGGTCTTTTTTGCTGCGGACATGTGTGTACTTCTGTCTGGGGCCCTGGGTGACAGGCGTTGGAACATCGAGACCACAAGTTGCATCACATGTAGAGCTTCTTGCTTGAAGCAACAAATTGTCCGACAGTTCTTTCTACGTAGTTCAAGTTTCGTGTTTGTTTAAACGTAAAGTCTTCAGCTCTGCTGTCCTTGTCGATGCTATGCATCTGAGTAGCGGCGCACAATAAGTAGAGTCCCATGGGCAGGGTGGATTCAAGTGGCATGCTGTCCAAGATATCAGGGTTCACAATGCTCTACCTAGAGTTGTTAGTCCATGTATTGGAACAGATGACCACAAGCAGTGGCAGTGTTTGAAGTCGGACAGACTGGAACAAAAAGCAATGGGCTGGTGAAAGCATCCATTCAGCACAACATCCTGTAGCATCGAAATATTGCACCCCTAAAACATTGCCTATGTAATGTGAAGTCACATGCTGAGGGAAGCATTTAGGGTTGCACGGTTTAGTACTGTAAGGTTTGTGATGCAAGGTTATTGACGTACACAGTTTTTTGAGTTCAATAGCATCTTGAAGTACGCCCTACCCCGTAACCAGAAATCCGAAGCCCCAAACCTCAGTCAGGCCTCCAAAACAAAAATGAAAGAAGCTGGCGCTAAAAGCCCTAAAACATATAATTTTCAAACACAAGGAACCACCATGAAAGAAGCACGCGCCTCAAACCCAAACTTCAAACCTGAATTGTCGAAGTGAAACAAGCAGACGCCTAAAATAGAAGCGAGTTCAAGACTGACGACGTCAAGGGGCATTTTCGAGTGTTTTTAGGTTTGGTTTAAAGAAGGTTTAGGCTTACGTTTAGTCATGCTCGTAGCATGTTATAGCCATACGCATCCCCCTTTCCACTCCCAATGCAATGCTGATGAATCCTCATCCTCACTTCGCTCCTACCGTGCTCGCCAATGCCGTCGATGTCCACAGCCCTTATCATCCTGTCCGTGTGGTGACCTCAACCGTCGTCCGAATGCTCGTCTGATTCGTCGTCCAGGCCGTGATAGCGCCCTCAAAACATGCAGGACTGGCATGGCCCTCTTCCGTGACGACGGCGTGGTCTTGGTCGCGGTTCCTCAATCGATGATGCGCGTGATCGGCGACAAGCTGCTGAGTTTCCTACATTGACCAGCCGGCAGAAAAGTCCGCGCAGTTGCAAAGACGCCACAAAGGCCCTAGATCCCAAGCAGTACGCCCGCGAGCCTAGTTTCGAGCCAGTTAGGCTAGCGCCCTGAACCCTAAAGCTCCGATCCGAGCACTTTGACATCTTGATGTAGCTCTGCCTGCAACATTCTGACTAGATTCTAGGCTCTCTCGCCAAACCTCGAATGCCAGAAGCAGTAGCAGAAGAACAGGGAGCAAAGCCGCCAACGAAAGAAAACTGGTATGTGAGGAAGACAGAGGGAGAGCCCAACTCGCGAAGGCCTCCCCGACCGCGCCGCTACAGCAGCCGGTCATGCCAAGCTTCAAGGTTGGGAGGGTCGCGGGTCAAGATTTGGGGTTCGGCATGTGTTTCAAGCTTTCGGGTGTGTTTGGGCGGGTGACCGGTAAGGCGGGGTGGGTTCCGAATAGGACAAGATGAACAAGATGCAATCGGATCGATTTCCAAGTCTTGAGAGTGTATGAAGTCACCCAAGCCAAGCCCTGCCCCAGACCCAGGGAGCCGGCTGAGGGTTAACAGTTCCCGGAGCTTTGTAGCCATCGGCTTCATTGCCGCCATCCTTTTGGTTTTGGGATGTTCCGGGAAGTTGTGCCTGTAGCTGACTGAGCTTCCAAAGCAAGAAGGCACTCACGACCAGAATTCCTAATCCTGGACCCTGAACTTTTCCCAGCTAGTTTTTCAGCTGGGCCTTCAGTGCCCTAAGGCCCTTTAAGGCTTTAAGGCCCTTTAATAAGGTTAAGGCCCCACATTCCTAGATCCAGCTTCTGGCTTCTCCTGCCCTAAGGCCCTAAGCCATTCACCTACAGCCATGAAGTTGGATTTGGGGTGTAGGGATGCGTAGGGTTTGGGTTTAGGGGTTCCCGGTTCCCAGACGAGGCTTGCAGGGAGTTCTGAACTTAAGCCTTCTGCCAGAGAAGCAACCGTCAGGTGGAGATGATGATGGCCGCGCCGCAACAAGGGCAGCCACTGTCGGGTGTTAGCTGGCCAGGTGCTGTGCCGGGGTGAGATCGAGGGGGTCTGTTTGGTTGAGGGTTTAGGGAGAGTCCGGGGCTGGATGGTTGGAACACAGGGGTGCTTGTGCGAGAAGCAACCGGCTCAGCTGTTTGGTGGGCTGGCGCTAACGAGACGCCGGGCTCCACGTTAGGCAGCAGCTTGCCTGACGTTGGAGGCTTCGTCTTTTTTCACAGAGGCAGTTGCAGGAGAGTCTGCATTAAGACGAGAAAGGCTCTGGTGGTGTCATGTTTACTATACTTATAGTAACTTATAGTATGCTATGCTTTACTATGCTATGCTATGCTGTGAACTTGTGCTACGCTCCGGGCCGCTGCGGTTCAAAAGCGAGGTACTGGATGGGTCTGCAATCGGTCAAATCACTTCATAGGAGTTTCAACAGATGAGGGGCCTGCCTTTGATTAACCCGTAGTCGGATCCTGCTGATAAGGAGCCCCAAATAAGGTACATTGATTTGAAGAAACCCCGAAGTCAGTGCTTTGCTAAGCTATACTCTACTCTACTCTACTATACTCTACTCTACTCTACTATACGATACTTATGTAATATAACATAATGTAGCATTATATAGGTTCTCCTGCAACTGCTTGCATCGTCTCACCGGGATCCCTGGCTCGGGCATTCGCATGTCGGGGCAGGATGAATTTAGGGTTGAGCGGGTTTCAGGCAATTGCGCAAGTCATGATGCAAAAAAGGGGGTTTAGGGTTTAGGGTCCTGCAAAGCGCGGATACGCTTCTTTCCCGGTAGAGTCGCTGCAGACCGGATGCAAGATGGTTTAGAATCTAGGGTTTAGGGTTTAGGGTTCCTGGCTTTGAATTTACCAACATTGGGACCCCGGTGGGGGCAATCAGCTCTTCGTTACACTGACTCGTTCATGATGCCGCAGTCTGGGCTTAGAGTTTCTTGGTTTCTGTGTCTGCGACCTTTGGGGTCCCGGGAGAAGTTGTTCATGATCCCCCGGCTATCCGGAACCACCTGGGCGTGCTTCAAAACAACCGTGACGGTCTGCCGTCGTAGGGAACAATCGGGATTGCATGCCCAGATGGCCTCTGAAACTGCGGAGTCCGGTGGCATGGCAATGGCTTCAATCGTCAAGACTGCTGTGCAGCCGCGCATGTGGTGTTGTTCTTGTAGAACTTATATATGCCGTGCAACCTCAAAAACTGGCGACGGCCGCCTTCCTAAACCTTAAGCCCATAGCTCCTGCTCGGCTTCCCTCATGGTAGCGTATCATAGTACCCCAATGATAATACCTTTGGAACTTTAGAATCGTATCCCTATGACAGTACCCCACAATGAAACAGTTGCAGTCGTACCTTAGTAGTACCTTGAATGAATACCTTATGAATCCGTGTTATGGTGCCCGATAATCGTGCCCCCATGATAATACCTTATACAACCTACAGTGGTGGGCACGGTAGGTCTAAAATCTCTTGGGATGCCGCAGTCTACGGACATCCGGCGGAGCTGCTAAGACCGCGGTGCAAACATAGCGCAACAGATCAAAAGAGAGCAGTTCCCTCCCGGGTGTACGGTTTAGGAGCAGGCCCCAAACCCTAAACCCTGAGCCCTAAGCCTTTTTTAGCCTCCCCTTTTGGACAACGTGGACTCCCAGGCCTCTAGGTGCCTCGCCTGCGCTGCCCTAAACCTCGTTTCGGCGGGCTCTTGTGTAGCAGGTGCTATGATTTATCAGGATAGGCTTCTGTGGTGGACCCCAACTGATAACTGGTCTAATGACTGTTTTGGTCGGTTTTTTGCGTATGGTGAATTCGTCATCTTTGGCCTCCCAGTTTTGAGTGCTGAAACCGCGCTTCGAAACCCCAAACAATACATAAACTCCAAATTGCAGCCTTGTGCCAAGAGCTTGAGAATGGATCCCCTTTGGTCTCTCAGCTTCGCGCAGAATTGGAGTAGCGTGACGAGGTGTGGGATAGTGATCTTCAATCTGAGGTCGCATGGGCCTGCACCATAAACCCTCCCTCTATGTGGTCAAGAACCCCTGAACAAACAGATGTGTCGAACCTTCGTGAGGTTGAAATAGCTTGGAGGCTTGAACTCCGAGTGCTGTTCCGCACGTATTCCTAATACTTGACTTGTGATCCTGCAGCCACGGTGATGCATTGTAGCATAGCCCGTGTTGCTGCTCTCGTGGCGGCGCTGGTGGTTTGGTCAATTTTCGGCCTGGGGCTGCGATGGCGCGAGCTCGCGGAGCTAAGCCAGATAGATCCGGCTGCGAGCCAGCTCAAGGTGTTGATGGTTCGTACCATCGGGCGCTCGGAGGTGGAATTCACCAAAGATGATATCAGATCCTTGGCTAAGAAGACCAGCGGTATTCAAACCGCCAACATGTCCCACTGCGCCGCCCGAAAGGGACCGGGGCCGAAAGCCGAGTTGCTACAGGATCTGCCGCCGGAGCAGTGGCCCGCAGATGTTGTCTGCTATGCAGGCATCACCCACTTGCGAGTTGACTTGCATGTGATCCTTCTGGTGTGGGATAAGGTTGATTTCATTGATACATCTGACCTCGACTTGAACGTATCGGTGATCTACGCACCGAAAACCCGCAAGATCAACGCTTGGTTGCGTCATCTGTCTGAAACGGCGGTGTCAGCCTACGACTATCTGTGGCTGGCAGATGGAGATGTGAATATCTCGATGGTGAACTGGTTCGCCTTTTGGACACAGATGCTGTATTTTCACCCGCAGGTTGCCCAGCCTGTCGTGTTGGGGAAGGATAGACGGGAGATTCATGACAGGATGGCAAACTGGAGAAGCCTAAAAAAAGGGGAATTCTTTAAGCTTTTCGGCCACCGCACGAGCGACCACGACATCCTGCAAATTCCACCTAGCAAAAACGGGTGGATTCTTGATCCCACCTTGATCGCTGCTGAGGTTGGGATCGTTGAGATAATGACGCCGATGCTCACTCCGCAGGCATGGATAGCTTTAAGAGACGAGCTGCTTAGAAATAGCAAGGCCATGCAGTGGATTGGTGAAGGCGCCACATGGTGTGTGGATGTCCGGTGGTGTGACTTGGCTCGTGCTGCGCTTGGTCTGGAAGTCGCCCAGAAACCGGACGTCTGTATCGAGAGCGGGGAACAGATGTTTCACAAGAAACAAGGGCGTGGTCCCGGCGAGCGGCTGTGGGAGCCCCGCGACCTGCCTGCCTGTTTGGTATTCTATCAGACACCTGTGCGTCATCACGACTATCGCTCGCTGAACAAATCCGGAGACTTCCACTCCAAGAATGTCAACTTGTGCAGCGAACTTGAGGCGCAGGTGACGGATACCACAAGTCGGTGCGCATATCGCGCTTTCTACGAGTCAGATCTTGGAGCCAGCTTGGGGTTCGATGGGAGCAGCACGACCTTGCCAAACAGAGAGTTTTGCGGCAACCTTAGGCACGCGTAATTAAGTGGTCTCGCTTTAGGGGGGCAGCTTCACTTGCTTTTTAGCTGAAGGCTGAAGTTCTACACCCACTCAAGTCCTTGTGCCCTTGGGGGGGGGGGTGGTGCTTGATTTGTGCATGTTGGGGCTCCTGGTCTGAAAGTAGTGAGGCTCTGACATGTCACACTGCTGTCTCTCTGTTGCATACCATCAAAGATTCCTCGCCTGGGAGTGTCCGGGTGTCAGCGCCGAAACCAAATTCCTACAACCTCAACATTCCGAAACCCTACACTCAAAACCCACCAAGAAGATCCAAGAAGCTGCTACATGACACCTGAACTCTGCTGTGTTTCGGCTCACTAGCCGGCGACTTGGGGAGGAGCCGGCGAAGAGGCGGGGCCTGACATTTCATGGGACAGAGAGCCAGAAACTCCAATGCTTGAGGGACCCGGTATGTGACCGACACTTTTTGGAGCCCCTTGGGTGCCTTGCATGGTGCAGAAAAGTGGTGAGACCAAAGCAGGCGATTAGCTGGGATTGAAGATGCAAAGTTGCAACACGACTCACAACCAACCTGCTTTCGACGATGACTGTGGCTCTGTGTTATCTCCCTGGTTCTTAGTAGGGAATGGGGGAATGGGTTATTGGGACTACTATAGGGGACCTTAACAGAGTAGCATAGGGATCCATTCCCCCATTTCCTACTAAGAACAAGGGAGTTATTGACATTGTGTCGAGTTGGGATGTCGGATGACCAGGTGCGCACCTCGGTGGGCTGTCGCAGCCAGCTGGAAGCTGGTGGCACGGCTGAGCTAGATCGGCTGCTGCTAGTATCCTATGCCTACGTCTCAAAAGTTATCCCTAGAAGCTTGCTTGGTCAACTGCTCCCTTGCCGGTTGCCCTGCTAGCTCACGAACTTCCTGCCAAACTTTGGGCTGGACATCTACTGCTGTCTTTCTGCCGCACAGGGCTTCGAATGCAGGGGCGGCATGAGAACATGTCTGAACTTTGCCTGTGATTGCCGCGTGATCTGCGATCCTAAACCCTCCAGCACTGCCAGGATGACGGTGGCACACATCCTGGATTCGACAGCCGCCTCGCCTCAGCAGCTTTACATCGCGCGCAGGGCATTGAGATCCTCCTACAGCGGCGGCAGCGGTAGCACCTTTCCCGTACTGGCGCTGGACTCGGTGAAGTCGGAGAAGAGCGGAGAGGTCGATCCGGGGATTCTAATTTCGCCAATCCAGCAAACCTCAGACTCCAAGTTTGTCGCAACCGAAACCAGGAATCCCAAAACAAAGGCCAGAGTAGGAACAGGATCAGCTAAGTCTGAACGTAATTGAATCACGTGCCTGCGATTCGTTCATGAAGCATCCCACCGGCTGCAGAACTGTTACCAGGGTTATTTGAAGGTCAGAAGCTGAAGTTCACCACACCCCCCCGGAAGACCCGAAGGTTCATCTGCTTCAGGGTTGGCAGCAGAAACCTGAACGCTAGGATCCTCATCACCCTTGACATTGGAATCTCAACGCCCTTGGCCTGCCCAGTGGTGACATGCCACCTGCTACTGACTTTGGACTCGAATAACGAAGCCACAGGAGGGCGATGTCAATAGATGCAACGAGCTGCTGCAAGCTGCGGTAAATTATCGTGCAGCATTGCAGAGGACAGCCAAGCTCTACAATGCAAGACCACACGAAACATCCGATGGTAATCCGATGGCATGGAGATGCTCCGTAGATGCTGGGCCCCAAACCAAATCCGAGCACCGTTCTGAAGGCCTTGGCGGCGCCCTTCCTGGATCCGCAGAGGGACCCCTCGTCGGGCTCAAAGGTCTCCAAGACCCCAGCCTCCTCGAACAAGGAGGGCCCCACGGCGGCATCTTGGGCCGGTTCTTCTTCTGAGCTTTGTCGATTTTTGCTTTGGACTTGGTTTGAACATCGGTCTCCTTAAATGGGGACGGGCGGAGGGAGCCCGACTGTCGACCAGGGCTTGCCGAGGCTCCAAAGAACATGGTGCAGATAGCTTTCACATCCTTCATCACGAATCTGCGATGCCAAAGCCCCATTTGCAGATCTCCTCATGAATCCATTTACTACACGTCAGCTAGAGCATTTCCCCCCAAGCTGCTCTAGTTATTGCGGCCCGTTTCCTAAACGCTTCCTGATTTCTGACCCTGGTTCGGATTGGGGCCACCCTCCAGGCCTCCAGGAGCCTACCGAGTATACCGCAACCACCCCTGCCATGCGCATGTGCAAAGCTTAGCCAGCTCACCTTGCCGAATCTGAAGCTAGGTGATAGAATCCCTAGAAGGCCCCAGTAGTAAATCCTAACAGCCTCAGGCCTCAAAGCCTTAAGCCCTGACCAGCCTACAATGTGTCCTTGCTGGCAGGCAAGCAAACTTTCAGGCTTAACATGCCTTAAACTGCCTTAAAGAAGTGCTTTGTACCGAATCACAAAGCCCTAAGTGCCGAACCCATTAGGCAACAAAAGTCCAAACCTTCAACCTCGCCTGTGAGCATGGTTCTCTGCCCTGCGAGAGGGCAAAATGAGGCCTTGAGGAGGTGTCAGTGACTGCGCCCCTACTACTGAAGCTTTCAGCTGCTTTCAGATGCTGTTGGCAAAGCTAGTGGCTTTCAGCGATTCTGTCCGGCTTAACCCTGCAATGCGGCCTCGTCCTAGCTAGGCCTAGGTGCGAAAATGAGGCCTTGAGGAGATCTTCTACTCCCCCTTCACTTTGCTGCTCGTCTTCGTTCCCTTGGGAGCCGCCTCGGAGACGCTCGGCTGGGGCGATGGCTGGACCTTCGTGCTGAACTTCGTGGCGCCCGGTCTGAAGTTGAGGGTTTGGGTGGTTTTAGGAAAGCTCATGGTTCCGGGTGTAGGTTATGAGGTTGGCAGTTGAGGCGGACAGAGCTCTAAGCGAGAGAGAGAGAGAGCCTGATTAATAACATCGGGTGGGCAATTTGCCCGGGGACGCTGACCCGTCCCCATGCCCGGGGGAGAGAGAGAGGGAGGCAACGTGAGGTAGGCCTTCGGGCCAAGGGGTTGCTCCTAAACCCCAAGCAAGCAAGCAAGCGAGAGAGAGAGAGAGTGAGAGACGGCGTAAAGTTTAGGGTTCTTGACTTTCTTGACTAGCTTTTAAGTGTCGGTTTAGGGGTTCGGGGTGCGCTTTGAACGCCACAGACGATGCCAGGATCATAGGGCTCTCTGGCTCCTTCAGTCAAACCTTCCCCTATGGCCTCGCACACAAAGTTCAGCGTTTGGGGGCGACTGGCCGACTTGCAATCTTAGGCTGTTGTAGGATGTGCGAATCAGTATATAGACGAGAGGCCTGAAGAAATCAGACAACAATCTCAGTTGTACAAACAACAATAATGTGCTCTAAAACCTACGTAGTCCCGTAAAAACAGAATATACCCCAAAACCTGTTCAAATTCAAACGAATGAGGCCCACGAGTTACACCACTAAAAGCTCTGAGAGTCACTTCGACGAAGGCATTCGGTGCCTCGCCGGCGAAGCATGGGGGTGTGGGGAGAACCCGGAAACCTCGACACCAAAGAAGCCCAGCTTTGAGAGTCGAATGTTCAGAAAGCTGGTGATCCGGAGCTCGCGCTAGAAAGCCTCAGTAGCTGAGCAGGCGGTCTATATAAGCTTACCCGAATCTAAGGTGAACTTGACCTTTGGACTAAAAACTCAGCAACCCCGAACCCCTTAGACCCGGAAGCCCGTAAATCCAACACCCTGAAACCCAAGTGAAAGCCCTGAGCCCTAAGTTTCCAAGAAAAGCCCCGAAAACAGAACCCTCAAGCCCTCAACCCCGAGGGCCGAGAGCTTCAACCCGCGAGACGTTGAAACGACCACAGAGCCGATTGGCATGGCCCGCGAATGTTTGTATCCCTTCAACTCGAGGAGTGTACCACCCCATAAAGCCGAACTCCTATCAACCCTAAGCCCCTCAGCGAAGCGGGTGGGAAAAGAAACCCCTAAACCCCTAAGCCTTAAATCCTAAACCCCAAACCCTAAACCTTAAACAGCCTTAAATCCTAAACCCCAAACCCTTAAACCTTAAACCCTAAACCCTAAGCCTTAGACCCTAAACCCCAAACCCTAAACCTTAAACCCTAAACCCTAAGCCTCAAATCCTAAACCCCCAAAACCCTTCAGAAAGCACCTCAGATGTCAGAGGCCCTCCTGCCTTTGGCGAAGTTCCTGGGCGACGCGACGGAGGCTCCGGGTTCAGCTCCGGTTTTGATGGTTTAGGGTTTAGGGTTTTTCACTCTCACAACTCTGACAATCCGGGCGAGGTCTATCGGGTGCTCCTTTCACCAGAACTTTCACCAGAACTATGTAAGGAACTTTTTTGGGTTTGGGATTTACTAGTCTGGAAGTGCTGCTTCCCAGCTGATTGACAGAATCGGGGTTCAAAAACGGGCTGGCGATTGCAGGTCGTGGTCCAGTAACAAAAAAGGATTAACGGCGTAGGATTTTTGAAAATCTCCGGGGGCTAGGATTTTAAAGTTTTATGCGTGAGTTTCAAGCGCAGGGGTGCAGATATGGGGGCCTTACGTGTATGGCCTGGCGGTTTAGGGTTGTTGTGGCTTAGATTTCGGGGTTTGGGGGCAGATATTAGAATGAGGATCCCATCTTCTTGGGACCCCTTATGTCTTGTGTCGTTAGGAGCTGGCCGTGGCCATAAAGAACGATGCGGTGGCCGGTATGCTGAATGCCACCTTCGGTGTCTCGGCTGTTCACTGCTCCACTTTCATCACTTTTGTCACTGCCATCTCGGCGATGTGATCAACCTTAGTCTCTGCTGTCGTCGGTCCGCCCCGCTGGCTCCCTGCTTCCCAGGCAACGTGGTCGAGATGATGATCACAGTCAACACCTTGAGGTCGCGAAAGCTCCTGGGTCGGCAGTACCGATGACAGCAACAACAGTTGTTTGAACATGCATATCTGTATATATATATATATGTATATATATATATATGTGTGTATATATATGTACACATACATACCTACATACATACATACATACATACATACATACATACGTACGTACATACATACATACATACATACATACACACAACATAAATATATACAATTTAATAATGTCTAATACACGTACATATATGTATATATTCAGCGGCAACAGAAGTTAGCAGTACTTACGGAGCTCTGACTCAGGTCCCCTGTTTGAATCCTCCTGTGGCAAACATGGTCACGGCTGTCCGATTGTGAGGGCCGGCCTGAACTCTAAGCAATTCTTGGTTTTTCTCGCCGCGGGAGCAATCATCCACACTGCGCTACTCACTGTTGAGGTTCGGTGTGTAAAGCCTTCGGAGTTGATCCCAAGGCCATGGAGCCAACATCAGTACCAAAGCTCCAAGCCATCTCACTCTAAAGCCCCGCAGCCCTAAAGCCAAAAGTCAGCAGTGAAAGTGGGCTGTTGTCAGTTCAGGATGCCCTTCGTCGAGCGCACCAGCGTGGTGAAGTGCACCCTGCTAGGATCGATCCTATCGAACCTTCTGCGCCTTAGCTGCAGGGACAGGAGAATGTTCGTTTGCACAGTACTCGCAAAGGCCCCATATGAAGCCTGTAAGTCCTCTGCCAGCTGAAGGCTGGTGCTGGGAATGTCCTTCTGCTTCGGTGGCCTGACACAGGCCTGTAGGGTTAAGGGTTTTGGGGTTTAGGGTTTTGGGTTTCGGGGTTTAGGGTTTTGGGTTTAGGGTTGATGATTCTGAGCGCAGAAGCACTGCCGGTCTGTCTGCCTGCCAGCCTGCCTGCCTGGCTGCCCGTCTGTCTGCCTGTATTTCTAGCGACAGACAGAGAGAGGGAATAGAGAGACGTAGAGTGTAAGCCTTTCTGAAGGCCTGTTGCCAGTGGAGACTCTGGAAGAAGCTCAGTCTGGCTGTGTATGGGGTGAGGATCTGGTGTTGACGGGGTTTGAAGGCTAGTGGGGAGTCGAGCCAGCTGGGGAGACTTGCTGTACTGTTGCATATGCCTGTGTAGGGGCCTTAACAATTAGAATGGGGTTTTGGGGGGTCCTTCTTATAATGGTAGTATAATATACCCCCAAACCCTATTCTAATTACTCAGGCCCCTACATTAGCGACATTCTGGATGCATTGGAAGCTCTGGGGAAAGGGCCCACGAAGAAAGGCCACACTTGGTTTTCAGGCCTTCATTGGCCGTGTCGACTCCCCTCTATGCCAGCCGCAACTTCCCTAAAGCCCCCACATATGAACGGCTACAGAGACCAGGGGACTGGGGCCGCTGTTGCCTTCTAGAATCAACCCTATGTGGGTAGTTCTCTAAAGAGGGGTCCCTTTTGGGGGTACTTCTTTATTAAGGGTGCCGTACTATATTTGGGGACCTAAAAGGGGACCCTAGTTTAGAGAACTAGCCCATGTGGGTTCAGGGTGGAGGCTGCAAGACCCCCGGGGCCCCTCGTGAAGAACCCACGTCTCGCAGCCCAGCCCGGACGCTGGCTTGGTGGGGAAACTCCGTATCGCAACGCATGTAGCTCGTGGCTTGCGCATATTTCGCTCCAAAGTCGGTTCCTCACACATCGCTTGGGTGCCTGCGATGATGCTCGCAGCAAGAAGCGGTTTTCACAAAGGGAGATCTTGGTGCTGGATGCTCCCACAGGCTCGTGCTACGATGGAAGCACATGCAGAGATAATCAAGAATGTCATGGCAAGTCGGAAACCACAAAAGGAGTGAAGGGTTCGGGGTCTCGGGGCTTTCCTGCCCGGAGCCCGCTCCGGAGTAGGCCCGATGCAGACGGGTTGTGCATGGTTCGATGTAACCGTTATCCCAAGCCCTCGACCCTAAACATTCAGACTTCGGGATTTTGAGAGCACTGGCCAGCCAGGTGAAAGTTCCGGCGGCCACTGTTATGGTTGGTGGGGAGCCTCTGGCACCGACAGGGTCGACTTTGTAGTGGCTTGGGGTCGGGGTTCAGGGTTAGGGAGTTCTGTTCCTATACGGGTTTCTTCAAACTTCGGGGTCCTTGTGCTGTAAGGTTGTAAGGATGCTTGCAATTCTACTAACCTGTTGAGAGAATGGTGACAACCATCCTAGAGGCGGGCAGCGCGCACTCGAAACACAGATCCTGCCAGCAGCAAGAGCAAGGAGACCCGCACAGCTTCGGGATCCCACAGTACATTACAGAATATGCTTCTAGTCTTAAGGGATATTATAATGAGTGCTCCCTGAATTCGCGATCCCAAGCTATTATGTAAGGTTCATGGCTTAAGGCTGCACAAGCTTCTTCAGGGATGCCTGAGCCTCCGCTTTGGGATCTCGTCCTGTGCATTTTGGGCTTCTCGCGTTGAGTTGAAGGGTGGTGCAGGCGCTTTTTTGGGCTCGGCAGTGCAGGAGGGTGTTACCTCAGCCCTGCTGCTGCCTTTGCGTCGAATTGCCTGACTGGCCCAGGAGAAGGAGCAGAAGTTCGCCATGAAGGGCGTGATCATGAGCATGGGCTTGCTGATATTTTGCTCCTCTGGCTAGATTCAATACTGGCTCAGACAGGGAGTCATCAAGGGGCGCTTCCCATCCCCCAGTCGTGCACGAAGCTTCTTGGAAGACACAATGCTCTGAGGCTGCATGTCCTTCGCACTCCCCACGCTGTTTGCGCAAGGCTGACGGCCCATGGTCATGGGGCTGGAAGCTTTGGCTTTTCGATAGGGCTTCAGAAATCAGAAGAGAGCAGATGCTGGTGAGGATCCTTGCACGATGCTATCAAGAGTTTAAGATTTCCTGGGCCATCTCGGGCTCCTCTTAGTTCCTTGAGCTGGGGCCTCCCTGCTTCTTCGCCTTCGGTCTTCGGGTTTCGGGATCACCTTGAGCAGGCCCTTCGCAAGCCGGCGCTGGAGTCGGCAAAGGGTGCAGGGTCTGGGTGACATGAGCTTGAGCCGAACAGTAACGCTCAGACCAGCCCGCCCCTGCCCGCCCAGACCCGAGACCACGCCCAGAAGTACCAGTAGCCAGGCTACGAAAGCGACATGGAGGACCTGCTGGACGTCTCGCGCTTCGGGGCGTTGCCCCTTGACGCAGCCCTTATGGTGGATGTTGAAGGGGATCTCGTTCTCTGGTCTGAGGTGCTGGCGAGTTCCTATCCATTATGAGAAAAATCAGTATAGTTCGTGCCTGTTTCGCTGTTCTGAATATGCTTTAGTATACACCAAAACCATATTCCAGTTATCTTCGCCCTTACATGACGTCTCCTGAGGAGGCCACTTAACTACCCTGCGCTCTGTTTGCTGACGTCTTCTCGGAGGAAGCCTTGAGCCATTCTGGATCCTGATTCCGTAGTAAGACTGTGTCACCAATAAATGCTGATAATGACTGTGAGTTAAATGACAACAATGCCGGCAGTAATGGTATTAGTCATAGTCATAGTATTAGCAATAGCAAGGGCAAGAGCGATCGCAATCGCAACAGCAATTGTGATAGTAATCCTAATCGTAACCGTAAGAATCAAAATAATTCTGAATGGAAGTAGAATGGAAATAGTAACAAAAACAAGGAAACCCTCAGCCTTAAAACCTTAGGCTCGTTGCCTCCGCGTACATCGCCTTCCTGATCTTCCAGCTCTTCTCTCACAAGCAGACACTAGAGCAGGAGGAGGAGTGTCTGAATCTTTTCTTAACTAGGGTTTAGGGTTCAGGGTTCAGGGAGGAGGAGTGCCTGAATCTTTTCTCAATTTGTGTGGTTTTCAGAAAACAGAGGTACTTCAGTTAGGGACCGCTATGCATGGCACCTTCTATTCGAGGTTGGTTATGACAGTCCTCTGGTTTCTGAAACCACCATGTATCGAATTTCGCTTGTTTTTTTTTTTTTGCCGTTGAGGCCTTTGTTTTTTTAGTGCGAAGGTCAGGTCTGCGAGTAGAGGGATGCTAGGGTTCGTTGGCCTGCTTCGCAGGGTCAAGGCGTCCGGTCTTGGCAGCCGGAAGACAAGAAAAAAGGTAAGTTCAGGCAGATTCACTTTCCACTGAAGAATTGCTTACGTCATGTCACACAAGAACAGGAAGCATAGTTATAACAAGAACAAGTCAGGGTCTACATCTGAAATTTCTGGTCCTGGTCTGCGGCAGGAGGCAACCTACCCTGAAAATTAGACCCTAAGCCTTTAAACACCTAAACAGTAGCTTTTGGCAGGTTGCATAGTTTAAATTTAAGATTGTCAAGGGGTTCTTTTGTTTGGAGGTTGATCGCTCTTGTTCGCAATGGTCTCACCCTTCCGACTCAAGACACGCCTCGCCTGGATTGTCCGGGTGTGAGCGCCGAAACCCTAAACCCCTAAAACCTACACCCCTAAACGAGTGTGAGAGTCGAAACCCCTAAACCCTAAACCCCAATCCCCAAAACCCCCCAAAACCTTGTTTTGACTCGCTGACCAAACCCTCAACCCTGAACAGCAAAGGAAAGACGACGGAGCCGAGGAAGACCAGGCGGGCCATCATGATAGTAGTACCGCTTTACAATAGTATAATAGCATCATAGGGCAATATGCCATGATTTAAAAAGACAATGTAATATTTAAGCATCTTAGAGTACACGATAGTATGGTAGTTCTGCGGAGACATGTCCAGGACACAAAGTATCATGCGTCGTAGCAGTGTGAGAGGGTTGGCGACGGCCACACTGGTAGCAGCAGAAGATGAGTCTGTACAGCGACAGTATGAAGCAATCTTGGGCATGACCCTAAACCCTAAACCCTAAATCACCGTCGCCACTGTCGTCGTCCATCGGGCCGGTCGTGTTGCCGTTGCCGTCGTCATCCTTCTTGCTTTCGTGGTCCTCGCATTGAAAGTGCGGTGGTGGCGGTGGTTTGGACTTTGGCCTCACGGTCGCAGGTCTGTTCGACAGGCACTGTCACTGATAGCCGAGTTCTCATACTTTTCTCTTGCATTTTCTGGTTTTACCATGCTGTCTAGCGTGGTCTACAGGGTGCCGGGCACCCGACTTGCAAAACCCGAAGCTTTCGAACGTACTCGCTGTCGTTTGGAAAGGTCCTTGCCGATCTTCCCTTACTGTCCGAATGAATATCGCAGTTGTGGCATGCATGGATACGCTTGTGCGTCGAAATCTTGAATGCCGGATCCTAATTAGGCCCCACGCTGCAAAGACTCCAAGCAGGAGCGACCTCCTCTAGCCATTTGGCTGTCTCTGACTATGATGGTGGTCGTCACTGTCGCCTGCCGCAGCTCAGGGAAGACAGATGTCATTTCAGAAATGCGGTCTACAATCCCCCCCCACTCCAGACCACCAAACCCTAAACACAAAGCCCCCCCGCCCAAGCTACAAAGTCTAACTCGCAAAGTCCGGAGCTTCGCTGAATCATGTGTAGAGTGCCTAGGACGACCTGCCCCTGAGTCTCACGTGCATAGTTCGGAAGATTGTCCATAAGGTAGTTATAAACCGACCGGTCGGCGAACCCCCCGGGTTTTGCCAACAGAGTTAAAGCACCCGGAACGCTAGGATGAAGCGAATACGAGTTGTACGGGCCGGAAGGCTGTTGAGGGGTTCGGGATTGCGGTGTAATATGAAAATATAAAAAAATATACGATAATAATTACAGTATGAGCCAACACCTTCGAAGGGCTTCTGGGAGTTTAGCATGCCGTGGACGCCGAGTGCAGACTGCAAAGCAAAAAGCACCTCGGCGACGGTGCCAGGCAACCCTTTGTCGGAGGAGCCACCCCCGGAAGAGCCAGTCCTCGTGATGCATTCCTTTTTTTCCCATCTTGCCGTGCTCGTTAAGGTGATCACGGATATCGTTTCAGACTACTTGTGTGATTCGATCAACGGCGTCACCGCGGCCATGAATGTTGACTTCCTCGGCACAATTGTGCCGTGGCTTTCATCTCATTCACTTGTCGGCTTCAGCCCCTGATCTCAAAGTGTGCAGCCCTCAATTCTAAACCCACCCCACCATAAGTGATCCTAAGTAGATGAGGCTACACATGGCTCAGTTAGCAACCGGGGGTTCATTGCGAGATTCTTTGTGTCAGAGCAGCCTGTGCTTGCGATGACGTGCGTGTTGACGTCGTCGTCGCAATTCTACTCAACCGTGAACTTTAGGCGTCTCCGGGATATTAAGAGAATTGCAGTACAGGGCCTAACTTTTAGCCTAGAACGTAGGATCTTTGTACATTTTAATTTTCCTAACTCAGACACCCCTGCTGTTAACAAAGCGCCTGCTCGCTGCCCCCTAGGCCACCTGACGCCCCAGAAGCCTCAAAACGCTCAGGTACTCCCCATTGCTGGAAATGCTTGCGACTTGGTTGTGGGATCTTGAGGCCCTAAACCCTAGACCCTCACCCAGTAGTAATCTCGGATGTTGAATGCCATGCCTGCTTTGCGAGTGTGTGAGTCGAAACCCTAGACCCTCAACAGCCTCTGCCGACCATAGCCTTCGGCACAACAGTAACAAGGCAGGTGGCAAAAGTGTCAAAAACCGCCTTGAAGCTGTGGGAACTTGAGGTTTTGGCTCTCCAAAAGCCGACCCCCTCTCCTTTTTGCGGCCTTCGGGCGAAATGCCCCGCGCGGTCGAAGCCGAAGAGCCCTTTCTGAGTGCTTGCAGCTGCTCCTGAACCTGCTCTGCCCTGCTGACGAAATCTTTGCGCTTGTCAATTGTAGCCTGCCCAGAATCTTTGCTGGCACTTCCACAACCACCGGTACTATATCGCACCACTACTACTACTACCACCACTACGACGACGACGACGACTGCTACTACTACTGCTCCTGCTCCTGCTCCTGCTGCTCCTCCTGCTGCTGCTGCTGCTGC